AAAAAAAAAAAAAAAAACCTCCAAACTGTTTAGGAATAAATTGAAAGGGAGAAGTATAATCTTTTAAAATAAAAAGCCTTTATGTTGTCTATATTGGCACCTGCCTAACCCATTCCTTTCTTCTCTGAGAATCCCCAACACCCCCCGCAAAAGTAAACTTTTACGGTCTACAGAGAAAGAAGAATGTGGCAGATGGATAAAAAGAAGCAGAAATGGAGTGCTATTTACCCAATCATGGGATAGGTAAGCTTTCCTAAACATGAAGGCACGGAAGAGACCACACGGAAAAAGATGAATAAATTTGACTGCATGAAGTACCACTTCATGCATCAAAATAAAACACTCTAAGGACATTAAAATACAAATGGAACACTGGGAAACTTATTTGTGACAAATATGGCAAAGGGTTAATATACTTTATATGAAAGAGTCTCCACGAAGACAAAAGTAGTCAGAATAGGACACCAGCAGATGATTCACAAAGAAGAAATACGAATAACCAACAAGCTTAAGAAAATTTCCAAAAATCAAATCATAGAAAAACCACAAGAAAATCAAACCAAACATTTACCAGTGCCTTTAAAGAAAGAGCCTTTGTAAATCCAAATGTGACACCTCAAAAAGAAACGTCACAAAGAGAAATGGCTGTTCAAAATCAAACTCAAATCCATTGCCATAGATTTGATAAAAATTACACTCTGCATCCCAAAGGCTCAGAGCAATAACTAAGGCTACAGAGCCTTAAGGAGAATGGATTCAGAAGCACTCAATCCTGTTTGTGTCACTTACGGAAGTGAAGCCGGGCCCTTCTCCAGCCTGAAAGACATAAAAGGGAATTTGTTAAAGCCATGGAGAAACGGAAAACTCCCAGAAGGGTGAGGGTCGAGCCTGGGGTAAAAGGCATCTCACCTGAGTCTGCTGCAGCTCTTTTCAACTCTGTTAAAAGAAGAAACAAGGGATTGAGCTATCACTGGAAAGGGTCAGTCAACAGGAAGGAAGTGGGTTTGGAAGTTATAAGAAAATGGGAAACTTACTCAGTTCACTCCGGAGTTTCTCTAAAGAATAGAAAGTTTGACAAATCAGAATGTGAGCTTCTACAGTCCCAAAATGTCACAGTCCATCCCAACCACACTCTGTGCTGACCCTCACTAGCAATGCCCTAGAACGTCCCCACAACAGTGTTCATAATGGCAATGCCTCTAGTGGACCATGAGTCCCCAGATACTGCAGAGGGTCAGCACATTCCTCTGTGAACCCGACCTTGACTGCAGATTGAAAAAAATAATACAGCTCACACAGACAGGTAATGCCCTCATGAATGTATATAGATGTTGAGGGGATGAATAAAATACAAGTTCATTTGAAGCTATCACTGAATTCCTATCACATTTTTTTTTATTGTGGTAATATATATATAACATAATGTGCCATTTTAACCATTCTTAATTATACAGTGCAGTGACATTCAGTACATTTACCATGTTGTACATCAATGTTGTTGTTTTAGTTACCGTCTTGTTCTGATTCGTGGTGGCCTCGTGTGCAGAGTAGAACTGCTTCATAGGTTGCGACCTTTCAGAAGCAGATGGCCAGGCCTGTCTTCTGAGGTGCCTTTGGGTGGATTCAAACTGCCAACCTTTCAGCTAGCAATCAAGTGCTTAACTGTTTGCGCCACCCAGGGACTCCATCACCACTATCCTGTTAGATTTTATTATGTATATTTTCCAAATGGAAAATTAATAAGCATGTCACATGTCTGTGGACTTCTGTTGTTAAAGAAGGCCTCATGCATAAAATGGAGAAGCACTGCCCCCAAAACTCAGTTTAATGAGGATCTATCCACCTTGGGCCCCACCTAAGGGAATGCCATGCCTGGGTGAGAAAAGGGACTTGCACATGGCCTCACCTAAGGGAGCTACATCTCTTCCTGATAAAATTTCCTATGTAGAACTAAATAACAGTTGTGGAAGAAAGAGGAGCAGGGGATACTTAAGAGGCCTTGAAGAGCCAAGAAATTCCCATTCTCGTGGCTTTAAGTATGCTCGTCCCCACCCTTTTGCCCTAGGAAGTGAAACTGAGACACTTATCCCAAGGCAAAAATGCCAGCAGAAGGAGGTCTGTGCCATCAATGAGGAGCAGAACTTACTGAGGGTTTTGTGGAGTCTTCCTGAAAAAACAAAGAGAGGTGTGAGCAAGGAAATTCTCCTGCTTTGTCCCTGGTGAGCTAAAACCTCCCCCAAAAACACCCATTGCCGAAGTACAGACAACAAATATGAACCCTTTTGCATGTACAGTACTGAGTTCTCAGTGAAGGCAAACATGGGTATATGGATGGATAGATAGGTGGACAGGCTAAACGATTAGGTATGTCTATGAAAGAGGAGTGTATCCAAGATCATATATAGGGTTGGCAGATAATGGTCCTATAAGTTTATGTGAATGATCAGAATCCGCAAGTGTATAGTAGAGCTGACAAGGGGCAAGGTTGTCGTCACGCTTGGTCACAGCTAGCTACCCAGAGGGACCAAGTAGTTGATCCTGAAGGTTTGGGACCATAGTCACAGGGGACATCAAGCTCAATTGGCATAACATACTATACAAAACATTGTTCCACCTTCTACTTTGGTGAGTAGCAACTGGGATCTTAAAAGCTAGCAAGCTGCCATCTAGATGCAACAATGGGTCTCTCCTCGTCAAGAAGAAAGAAGAAAACCAAAATGAATGGAAACAATCAGTCCTCGCCACTGGTACACCATCCGATCTGCAACCTATACAACTATGAGACCAGAAGAACTAGATGGTGCCCGGCTACCACTGTCATCCACTTGGAAGGGATGTAGGAGATCCTGGATAGAGAGGGAGAACAATATGGAACAAAACTCAAAATCATTTGGAGGGGAAAAAAAAAAAAAAGAAGGTGAGGACCAGGTTTGCTGGTCCAATAGAGCCTGGTGTAACCACTGAGACTATGGCCCCGAGCTGCCCTTCAGGTCTGGAATTGAACCCACACCTGTGGTTTCCAGCCAAACAAAGTACAGGCATGTGAGTTAAACATTTACCTCAAGTAGACACACACCCTGGAGAGAACAATCATGGGAGAAGGAAGGGCTGCTTCTGCACAGGGAGACAGCTCAGGGGGCAGGAGAGTATGGAAGGATGGACACTGGGAAGTGGTAACTATGGGGAGGAAGCGGGAGGGGAGCTGCATTGTGGTCAACTGTGGTCAATGACATGAGACAAAGTATATGTGAACTGCTGTATGGAAAGTGAATTTGCTCTGTAAATCTTTACCCAAATCACAATAAATAAATAAATAAATAAAAACACCCGTTGCCCTCAAGTCGGCCCCAACTCATAGCGTACCCTCCTTGGGTTTCCGAGGCAGTGTCACTACGGAAGTAGATTGCCCAACCTTCCTTCTGAGGGGTGGCTGGTGGGTTTGAACTGCCAGCCTTCTGGTTAGCAGTCAAATGCCTTAGGCACTATGTCACCAGAGCTCCCGCCCCGTGGGCTGGAAGACACATTATTCTATCCCTCTGTGATGGAAAGGTTTATGACACTCCCTCAGTCCTTATCCAGTCACACCTCCCAGGGGTCAGGTCTCAGGCACCCCCTGGTGCTAGTGCTACTTTGCTAACAATCCGGCTACCTAACTTTGTTTCCACCTTCTTCTTCTCTTCCTTTTTGTCTGTCTGGTTTCATTTCTGTTCCTCTGTGTGAATGTTTGTAACTGTATGGACATCAGCCTGAGCTTTGCTGTCCTTTCATAATCTAAAAACCAAAAACCAAATTCAATGCCATTGAGTCGGTCCCAACTCACAGCGACCCCTCCTTGGGTTTCCTAGACGGTATCTCTACAGAAGTAGATTGCCCAGTCTTCCTTCTGAGGAGTGGCTGGTGGGTTTGAACCGCCAACCTTCTGATTAGCAGTCAAATGCCTTAGGCACTATGCCACCAGAGCTCCTAAGTTTATGTTGTAGTTGTGTGCCATCAAGTTGATTCCAACTCATAGCAGCCCTATATAACAGAGTAGAATTGACCCCATAGGGTTTCCTAGTCTGTAAAGTTTAAGGCAGCAGATCACCAGGTCTTTTCTCCCATGGAGCACCTGGGTGGGTTCAAACCACAATCCTTTCAGTTAGTAGCTGAGTATATAACCACTGCACCACCTCGGCTCCTACAGTTAATTTATAACCTATAGTTATTCAATCATGAATGTTATTGTTATTAATAATAATGGTTACCACGTATCAAACATTTACTCCTGCAGGCCCTATGCAAGGTATTTATATATACTATTCTGACCTTTCAAACCTCTTCTCCTAAGAACCCCTAACAGTGAGAATGAGCATTTTTTGGGGTGGGAGGGAATGGAATCTAGAAGGTGTAGTATGGATACCCAGAGTAAATACAAACTTCCTTTAAAGTGTGTTTTTTCTTAAAAATCATAAAGATTCTGGGTTCTGCTCCATAACATACTATTATTTGTTTTCATATAAAAACAATGTTAACTGACAACTTTTTTCCTCAAAATATTTTTTAAGTAAAATCTTTGCTCTAAGAAAAATATGTCATCTTTTGTATATATCCTGGAACACCTAGCAGAAGCACAAATTTTAATAATAACTTTCAAAGCTGGAGTGAGAGGGGAAGAGTCACATCTGAGGAATAAAACTGGTAAGGTATAAAATTAGCCTGTAACCCTGACTTGTTGGCCTGAGTTTATTATTCTTTAGAGGAACTCTCCTGAAGTCCTGTGATGAAGTTCACAAATTTGGAGATTCCCGAACATCTGCGGACATATGAGAATGCTTCAGAAGAGTCGTTATGACTTCTCAGGAGGGGCTATCTGTCCCCCATTTTTTCCTAGCATTGGCCCAGCCAGAGACTTGAAGTTAAACATTTCATTCCACTTCCAGGCCCTATGCTAAGATTTTATCATGGCTGGGCCTGTGTTAGGCATTAGGCATTGGGGCAATGAAATAAAATACGATACAACCCCTAAGGGGCTTATGGTTGATTTTATCTGATTTTTCTTTTTTTAAAACTGACAATTTACCTACTGACACTACTCATAGCCCCATTTCATTGAGTCAAATCTGACTCATAGAGACCTCTCTTTGGGTTTCCAAGACAGTATCTCTATGGAAGTAGATTGCCCAATCTTCCTTCTGAGGAGTAGCTGGTAGGTTTGAACCACCAGCCTTCTGGTTAGTAGTCAAATGCCTTAGACAATATGCCACCAGTAGTTCTTTGTAAATCTGTAATTAAAATAAGGAATCAGACTTCATATATGACTCAAAAATTAACCCCTAAATGAATACTTTATTAAACAACCCTTAGGATGTAACCCTTCTCAGGATGTAACTGATAAACTTGCTAATAATGTTTAAGTCTGTAATTTTTGTTATGCTTCCCTTCCCCGCCCTCCACCTGCCTGTAAACACAGACCCTTTTAAACTTTACTGTTCTCTCTAAAATGCAGTTTGGAGCATTTTAACATCCAGCATGGATGTCTGTCGATGTCTTCCCTTCAAAATGATTTTATTCCTTCAATAAATGTCTTCTTTTAATTTCTAGCAGATTGTCAGTCTAGTGTCTTCCATGAAGGCACTCTGTACCACACCACTTCTCTCAGTGCAAAGGTTATATAGACCCATGAGATTCTCAAGAATACCAGACCATAACAGTAATAGATATAGACTTTATTTTTAGCTGATTGCCAGAAAGGCTGATGAAGGGAACTGGTGATAATCCAGAACTATGAATTTTGACCCTGGGCATCCCAATTCCCCTGCCACCAATCCCATAGTCCTTTGATGTTGGAAACTAAATTCCATTAACATTAATGCTTGTTGTTGGTTGCTGTGGAGTTCATTCTGACTCACGGCACCCCTATGCATGCAGAGTAGAACTGCTTCACAAGGTTTTCAAGACTATGACCTTTCGGAAGCGGATTGCCAGGCCCGCCTTCTGAGGTGCTTCTGAGTGTGTTTGTACCTTTCAACTAGTAGGGGGACAATTAACCATTTGCACCACCAGGAACTGCCACTATTAATGAAACACATATGAAAAACATGTGATTTGTTCCCTATTCCCTTACTAAGTACACATAATTACCTTTTTCTTTTGCATGATCTGACAGAAGGTTTTCTAGAAGAAGGAAAGGAAAAGAAAATGAGACCCTGTGCCAGTACCTTGAGAGTTCCTAATTGCTACTGATTTTACCTGCTCTTGAACTTGTCCACCTCTGACTATCTCTACCTCCACCTTCCAGACCCAGGCAATCAACATTTCACATATGGATGACAGAACTACCATCCCAAATTATCCCCCACATCCTCTCTTGCTCCTTCTAGTCTCCTCCCAACACTAAAGCCAGAGTGAGTTGCTCAGAGCACAACTCTGATTGCGATGTCCCCGGTTAATGCTTTACCATTGCTCTTAGGATGAAGGCTAAAATCCTTAGCAAGATTGACAAGACCTCACATTGTCCAAAACCAACTGCTGTCAGGTTGATGCCAACTCATGGCAACCCCATGTATGTCAGTGTAGGACTGTAATCCTTAGGTTTTTCGGTGGCTGAGTTTTCAGAACTACATTGACAGGCCTTTCTGCCAAGGTGCCTTTGGGTGGACTTGAACCTCCAGCCATTCAGTTAGCAGCTGAGGGCATTAACCCTTTGTATCACCCAGAGACTCCCATGGTCTAGCCTCTGCATAACTCCTAGCCTCACCATTCCCCTCACTTTTTCACCTTTTCACTTCCTCAAATGAGTACTATTCTGTCCTGACCACATTTCTTTACTCAAGCTTTTCTTTCTGTTGTGGATGGTTTTCCATTTCTCTTCACATCATTCATGCCTGCCCATCCTTCACATCAAACCCACTTCCTGTGGGAGTTCTCTTGGTCTCTCACATTTGGTTGGCTTTTCCTGATCATAGTCTTCAGAGCACTGGGAACATTCTTTCATGGCAATTACACAGTTGTAGTTTTACATGTATTTGTGTAGTTGTTTAATTTTTTTAATGCCTCCTTGACAAGACTAAAAGCTCCAGGTGAGCAGAGACTATCCACTCTGATTCACTATTGTCTCCCCAGCATCTAATGTGATCCCAGGCATCCTGTAGACAATTATCAATTATTTGTTGAATGAATGAAAGCTTCCCTTACATTAGACCTACACAACTCCCACCGAATAAGGTCAAGCAATGACACACAGACAAAAAAAAAAAATTGCCAAGCCTACTGGAAGGCAAGCTATTACAGGTGAAAGTCAGCAAAACTGCAAACAGTAAATTTAAACCCCCACCTCCACCAACAAAGACAGCAGAAGCTAGAACTTGCAGGTACAAAATTTAGATTAGTGGGCACTCAGCATACAAAAATGAACAAAACAGAAATATTCCCATCCAGCCCAGGACACTTACCTACCTCCATCACCTGTTCATAAAGAAGCTTCTCTACAGGGGAGACAGAGAGAGAGAGATGTCAGCTCAGCTTAAACAAACAAACAAACTCAGTGCCATCGAGTCAGATCCAACTCATAGCAACCCCTCCTTGCGTTTCCAAGGCAGTATCTCTAAGGAAGTAGATTGCCCAATCTTCCTTCCGAGGAGTGGCTAGTGGGTTTGAACCGCCAGCCTTCTGGTTAGCAGTCAAATAAAAGGTTTTTTTCTAACAAAATTGTCCAAAGGTGTCCCAGCTACATGAATAAGACTTTGATCCTTGTCATTGAGGGTATGTGACCATTTGAAAAGATTATCAGTTACCAGTTGATATAAACAAACTCACTGCCATAGATTTCAACCCATAGCAACCCCTCCTTGGGTTTCCGAGGTGGTATCTCTACAGAAGTCGATTGCCCAGTCTTCTTTCCGAGGAATGGCTGGTGGGTTTGAACCACCAGCCTTCTGGTTAGCAGTCAGATGCCTTAGGCATATGCCACCAGAGCTCCTACCAGTTGATAGAGAGTCAAGAATTGGCCAGTGAAAACCTTATGTGCATCTAACCCAAGCCATGGTATTTTCAAATGCCTCATATGCATGTGAAAGCTGGACAATGAATGAGGAAGACCGAAGAAGAGTTGATGCTTTTGAGTTGTGGTGTTTGCAAAGAATATAGAAAGTACCATGGACTGCCAAAAGAACTAACAAATCTTTACTGGAAGAAGTGCAGCCAGAATGCTCCTTGGAAGAGAGAATAGCCTGACTTCATCTGACCTACTTTGGTCATGTTGTCAGAAAGGAGCATTCCCTGGAGAATGATATCATGCTTGGTAAAGTGGAGGGTCAGCAAAGCAGGGGAAGGCTCTGAACGACATGGATAGACACAGTGGCCACAATGATGGGCTCAGGCATAGCAAGGATTGTGAGGCTGGCACAGAACTGGGCGGTGTTTTGTTCTGTTGTACGGAGGGTCGCTATGAGTCAGAGCCCACTCCACAGCACCTAACAACAACATAGAGTCGATTTTGACTCATGGTGACCTCATGTGTTTCTGAGTAGAACTGTTCTCTGTAGGATTTTTCATGGCTGTTATATTTCACCAGCCACTCCTTGGAAGGAAGACTGGGCAATCTACTTCCATAGAGATACTGCCTCAGAAACCAAGGAAGGGTTGCTATGAGTTGCAATGGACTCAATGGCAGTGAGTTTGGTTTTTTTGGTTGTATTTCAGAAGCATATTACCAACCTTTTCTTCCAAAGTGCCTCTGGATAGATTAGAACCACCAATCTTTAAGTTAATAGTCGACTGCTTAACCACTTGTGCCACCCAGGTACTCCTTTGAAAGGATGAGAGGATCTTCAAACTATCAGATGGGGGTAGGAGTGTTAGTTTATGTGACTTTAAAGGTCCTTTTCAATTCTGAGATCTGCAAACAGTGGCGTCACTAGAGTAGATGTCACCCCTGTGGGTGGGCCGGCCTGCAGGTATCACCTCCCCTAGTGCAGAGGGCCTTATCCCACCCCCGTTGAGCGGCTGTGCCCCTCCTGCCTCCCCACTGCCTGCAGCTCCTGCCCTCTCCCTTGGGCCAAGACAGAGACCCTCCTCTGTCCAATGGCAAGCCCTGGGGCTTGACCTCCTGCACTTTGAGTACTGGGGAGTGGGAGGTGGGGTGGGGAGTGACCAATTACTGCTCTGGGTGAGGGGAAGGGTACCACACTGGGGGATGGGTGACACTAACCTCAGTGATGCCACTGCCTGAGAAATTCGACATCTTTATTGTTGTTAGGTGCCATCGAGTTGATTTTCTACAACTGGAGGGAACACTGCCAGCTCCTGCGGTATCCTCACAATGCTTGGTATGTTTGAGCCCATCCACTACTGCAGCCACTGTGACAATCCATCTCCTTGGGGGTCTTACCCTTTTTCATTAACCCCCTACTTTAGGAAGCATGATATCCTTCCCTAGGGACTGATCCTCTCTGACAACATCACTAAAGTCCAAAAGAGAAAGTCTGGACATTCTCACTTCTAAGGAGCATTCTGGCTGTACTTCTTCCAAGACAGATTTGTTTGTTCTTCTGGCAGTCTGTGGAATTTTCAGTATTCTTCACCAACAGTACAATTCAAAGGCATCAACTTTGGGGTCCTTAATCACTTTCCAGTTTTCATACGCATATGAAGTAACTGAAACTACCATGGCTTGGGTCAGGGGCACCTTATTCTTCAAGGAGATGTGCTTCATGCACTACGACGTCTGATTTCTTGACTGCTGCTTCCATGGGTGTTGATTGTGGATCCAAATAAAATGAAATCCTTGGCAACTTCAATCTTTTCTCCATTTATCATGATACTGTTTATTGGTCCAGTTGTGAGGATTTTTATTATTATTATTATGTTAAGGTGTAATACACACTGAAGATGGTAGTCTTTGATCTTCATCAGTAAGTGCTTCAGATCCTCTTCACTTTCAGCAAGCAAGGTTGTGTCATCTGCATATATATAATGAATCTTCCTCCAATCCTGACACTGCCTTCTTTTTCATATAGTCCAGCTTCTACGAGGATTTGCTCTACACACATATGAAATAAGAATGGTGAAAACATATAATTCTGATGCACACCCTTCTTAATTTTAAACCATTCAGTGTCCCCTTGTTTGGTTCAAATGACAGCCTCTTGGTCTATGTAGGGGTCCCTCATGAGCACAATTAAGTCTTCTAGAATTCCATTCTTGGTAATGTTATGTGTAATTTGTTATGATCCACACAGTTGAATGCCTTTGCATAGTCAATAAAACACAGGTAAACATCTTTACCTTTAGCTACTCTCCATTCAAGAGCAAGTTTCAGAGTCTCTTCTGACATCCATTTTGACGTTTTCTTCCTTTCCTGTCTTTTTATTGACCTTTTGCTTTCTTCATGTGTGATATTCTTGATGTCAGCCCACAAGTCATCTGATCTTCAGTCATTGGTGTTCAGTGTGTCAAATCTATTCTTCAGATGGCCTCTAAATTCATGTGGTATATATTCAAGGTTGTATTTTGGCTCTCCTGGACTTGTTTTAATTTTCTTCATCTTCAACTTGAACTTGTTTATATGAGCAATTGGTGGTCTTTACCACAGTCAGCTCCTGACCTTGTTTTGACTGATAATATGGAGCTTTTCCATGGTCTCTTTCCACAGATGTAGTCAATCTGATTCCTGTGTATTCCATCTGGTGAAATCCATGTGTGTAGGCTCCATTTATGGTGTTGAAAAAAGAAAAAAGTATTTGCAATGAATAAGTCATTGGTCTTGCAAAATTCTCTCATGCAATCTTTGGCGTCATTTCTATTGCCAATGTCATATTTTCCAACTACCGAAGCCTGCTTCTTTCTTTCCAACTTTCACATTCCGATCACCAGTAATAATCAATACATCTTGATTGCATGTTTGGTCAATTTCAGACTTCAGAAGTTAGTAAAAATCTTCAATTTCTTCATCTTTGCCTTTAGTGGTTGGTGCAGAAATTTAAATAATAGTAGTATTAACTGGTCTTCCTTGTAAGTGTGTGGATATTATCCTATCACTGACAGCATTGTACTGCTGTTGTTATTGTTGCTATGTGCCGTTGAGTCGGACCCGACTCATAGCGACCCCTCCTTGGATTTCTGAGACAGGATCACTACGGAAGTAGATTGCCCCATCTTCCTTCCGAGGAGTGGCTGGTGGGTTTGAACCACCAGTCTTCTGGTTAGCAGTCAAATGCCTTAGTCACTATGTTACCAGAGCAGCATTGTACTGCAGGATAGATCGATCTTTATGTGTTCCATTTCATGTTTGACAATTTCAAGTCTTCCTAGATTCATACTTTGTACATTCCATGTTCTGATTATTAATGAATGTATGCAGCTGTTTCTTCCCATTTTGCGTTGTGCTTCATCAGCAAATGAAAGTTCCAAAAGCTTTACTCCATCCATGTCATTAAGGTCTATTCTACTTTGAGGGGGCACCTCTTCCCTAGTCATATTTTGAGTGCCTTCCAACCTGAGGGACTCATCTTCCAGCACTATATCAGACAATGTTTTACTGCTCTTCATAAAGTTTTCCAGTAATATATCAGACAGTGTTTCACTGGTATTTGTAGTGTTTCCAGTGCCCATTTTTTTCAGAAGTAGAAGACCCCATCCTTCTTCCCAGTCTGTTTTAGTCTGAAAGCTCTGCTGAAACATGTCCCCATGAGTGACCCTGCTGGTACTTGAAATACCGGTGGCATAGCCTCTAGCCTTGCAGTAACATGCAAGACCCCCGTTCTGGTTACCTAGTGCTGCTCTGACAAGAATATACCACAAATGGGATGGCTTAAACAAACAGGAGTTTATTCTTACAATTTGGAGGCTTTAAGTCCAAGTTCAAAATGCCAAGCTCTAGGGGCTGGGTGAAAGCCCCTCAGCCTTGGGCTTCAGCTCTGCCTCCAGCTCCCAGCCCACTGAAGCTAGAGGCTTTTCTTCACTTAGACAGCTGCTGTCTGCTGAGACTGAGAAGTCCAAGGTTGACAAACAAAATGGCACAGTCCCAATGTTACCAAAACACACAGCAAGCCATTAATTTAAGTCCATTGTAAGTCCCAAGGTCAGCAGAGCATGGCAGGCTGCTGAAGAATGACACAGCTACATGCAGGGTCCAAGTGTACCATAAGCTAGAGACCATTCCCCAAGTCTTCTCCTTATATACAGGAAGCAGACCACATACCCAAAGCAGTAGATCCCACCATGGAGTTGATTGTCAGTCTCATCATGGGGAATAACTACCACCAGCTGCCCAGCCACTCAACCAGGCCCAGCCAAGTTGACACAAAAACATAACCACCACACCACCACAATAGGACAAACTGACAGATGAGTGGCAGACTGGCATGATAGGAAGTATTTTTTCTCATTTCTCCAAGGATGAGAATTCACAGCTCTGCTTAGTTTCTTTACTTCCTACAACCATGTGAGAGACCAAGGCATGGTTCTACCAGTTTTCTCCCAGCCAACTTGGAAGGTCTCCATCCTATGAATAAGTGTCATGCCCACCCCTACTTCCTTCCTGGCTTTTCCCAGAGAAGCCGCAGTTCTACCACCTGCCAGCCTGGACTCCCTCATCACCTTCTTACCTTTTGATCTTCTTTGCTTCCAGAGGAGGCAAATGCCTGCTATGATGAGAAGCCCCAGGACAGGCAGAATCACAGCAAGAGCCACTGTGGAGGAGGAGATCTTTCCTGGTGATGGGGCTGAAATGGAAACCAATGACCACCCTTAGGGAGATTTCTGAGAATTTCTGTCATACCTGTGGCCCCACTTCAGATGCAGATGTCTCAGGCATGTCCCAACTGTTTACATCAGCTCTAGGGAAAAGCCTCCAGCCAACTGATGAAGGTCTTCCCTTCTCTCAGTAACTCAATTCCTTGATGATGAGGGATAACTTTAAAAATAAGTGAGATGGTCATCTTTCAGGAATGGTTTAGATGGTCATGCCTGAAGACAGTGAGTTAAACTCAGCTTCTCAACCACAACCTTGTCCTGCTTGTAATTCAATGGAAACATAATCCAGAGATTTCCATGAACTGAAAGTTCTCTCCTCAGAAATCACCTAGAGCCTTTTTGTGAGCACCTTTGACTTCATCTCTGCCCTGGAGTAGCCATCAGCAATCTCTTTGCCCTGAGCATTATCAACAGGGGCAAAATAATTTGCCTAGATAGAAGAGTAGAGAGAAAGAAAGGAAGCCATAGGTAAGAAAAAAAGAAGAAGAAGAAGAAAAGAACAGAAGAGACACTGTGACAAGTGGTTAAGACATAAGCTAAATGTGAGTCCCAGCTCAACCACTATGTTGGGCAAGGAACGGAGCCTTGCTAAGCCTAGTCAAGGGACAAAGACTCTATGAGCCTAGTTAGCCTCATCTGTAAAACAAGGATAATGGTCATACCTATTCCATTGGGTTTCAGGGAGATTTAAAGAAATCAGGCATGTAAAGCACTTAGCTTTTAATGAAGGGCAATGGCAGTGTTAAGAGGAGAGGGAAGAGGACTGAGATAGGAGAAAAACAAGATTAGTAGAGCCCCATGACCCCCTCCATCCAGGCCCCAGGCTACAATCTTATCTTCCTTGGCTTTAAAACCACCCTGCCTTATAGCTCCATGTTTCAAGGATCTCTAAAATGTTTATACCCTTTGACTCATTCCTTCCAAGAAATGCTACGAAAATACTCAAAATCACTTCCCAAACTATGTACAAAGATGTCCATTGCACCATTAGTTATGTGAGGAAAAATTGGGAACCATTCAAATGTCCAGAAATAGGGCTTTGATTAATTTTTCAATGCTATATACTACACAAGGAACTCTGGTAGCCTAGTGCCTAAGGCATTTGACTGCTAACCAGAAGGCTGGCAGTTCAAACCCACTAGCCACTTCTCGGAAGGAAGACTGGGCAATTTACTTCTGTAGTGATACTGCCTTGGAAACCCAAGGAAGGGTTGCTATGAGTCGGATCCGACTCGAAGGCAGTGAGTTTGGTTTTTGGTTTATATACCACACAATGAAATACTAGGTAGTCCTTGAAAATCACATTGCAAAGGACAATGACAAAAAAATGTTCATGACATCATAAGTGGGGGGAGAAAAAAACAGGCAGAAGAATACATATATGTAAACATGTATACACTCAGAAATACATACATACAAGAAAGGCTGGAAGGAAATGCAGCAAAATGGTAGCCGTAGTTCTCTCCTATTTGAGAGTATAGGCTATTTTTTGTTTTCTTTAAAATTTTTTGTAGTTTTTAAGTTCTCTACAATAAATGTGTTATTTTTAGAATTTAAAAAATCCTAAAAGTCATTTATTTTTTAAAGTTTCTCCTAGGATATGAGTTTTCTCTGGAACTACTAGGTGCTTCAAATGTGATTTCTGTCCCAGGTTTTACCTGCAATGACCATGGCTGCAGTCCTCTCTTGACCAAGGGCCATGTTGTGGATGGTGCAGGACACATTCCCCAAAGTGCTGTCCCTGACTCTGCTGGACACCATTGTTTGGAAGAGTCCAGCTTCTTCCAGGTCATGGGCCTCTGACAGGGATGGAAGCACTCTGCCTTGAGGGTCTCTCCACTCGGCCCGAGGCTTTGGGAACCATCCCACTGACCTGCACATCAGATGGAGCCATCCAGCATTATAGCCCTTCACATGAATGTAAGGGTCAGAACCTAAAACTGAAGAAGAGAGATGCCTGACTGAACTAGCCCAGAAATGGACTGCAGGGCCTTGTCAAGGGATGTAGTCTTCCCATAGCTCCCTCTGGTGGACAGGGAAGACTGTTAATGTAATTTTAGCACGCTTCTCCCAATAAGGTAAGACAGTCACTGGCTTCATCCTGGTTTTATTTTTGTTGTTGTTGTTTGTTTTTTAAGCTTCATTCTAATACCTTTCAAAATCCACCTACAACAGTTATTGTATCACATGATTCAGATTCCTTTGGGCACCTCAGTACCCTTTTAAAAATTATTTTCCCCCCCAAAAGACTCTCTATTTGGAAAGAGTTTGTCTACCAACCGTTGTGTATTTTAAAGCAATTGATTCACCCCCTCTTTTTGGGGTGCAATTCTAAGTTATGAACAAAAAGGGAGTTAGTGTGTGCCCGTGTGGAGCCTGTGTCATTCCAGGCAAATGAAAAGACATGGGTATTTCTGAATGCCTAAAGTTTTAGGAGCTCTGATAGCATAGTGGCTAAAGCACTTGACTGCAAACCCACCAGCCACTCCTCGGAAGGAAGGTTGGGCGATCCTACTTCCATAGTGATACTGCCTCGGAAACCCAAGGAGGGGTCGCTATGAGTCGGGGCCTACTCCACGGCACATAACAACAACAACAAAGTTTTAAAAGAGCTCTGCTGGTGCAGTGCCCAGGAGCTCTGGTGGTGTAGTGCCTAAGGCATTTGACTGCTAACCAGAAGCTGGTGGTTCAAACCCACTAGCCACACCTCGGAAGGAAGGTTGGGCAATCTACTTCCTTAGTGATACCGCCTCAGAAATCCAAGAAGGGGTCTCTATGAGTCAGATCTGACTCAACAGCAGGGCAGTGAGTTTGGTTTGGTTTGGTTTGGTTCAGTGCCTAAGGCATTGACTACTAAACAGGTTAGTGGCTCAAACCCACCAGCCACTCCATGGAAGAAGTAAAGATTTACTGCCTTGGAAACCCAGTGGAGGTCGCTATGAGTCAGAATTGACTCAGTGGCAGTGAGTTTGAGTTTTGAAGTTGAAAAAAAAATTGAAGGTAGTTTGAGAAACCCTATCTCTACCTTCTTGGACCTTTAAGTACTCAGCACAGGACTCATTAAAAGTAAACCTTCCAAACAGCTCAGGATTCTGGCCCTGGAGGACATTTCTTTACAGCCATGGTTATGAGTTCCCAGATAATATGGGACAAAGAAAGATGAACCAGAAATGAAAGAATTATTGCTTGAACCACTATGCTGTAAATGCTACTAATTGTATTTGTTGTTGTTGTTGTTATACGCTGTCGAGTAGGACCCGACTCATAGCCACCTTTCCTTGGGTTTCCGAGGCAGTATCACTATGAACCACCAGCCTTCTGGTTAGCAGTCAAGTGCCTTAGGCACTATGCTACCAGAGCTCCCACTAATTGTATTTAGTCGTATTTAACTAGCAGTATGTTCCATTGTTGGTGTTCCTTTCCTATCAGAAACCCCTGGACCAGGGTCACAGCTGAAACATCAGGGCAAGTTGAACTGTACATACAGATCAAAGAAAATTCTAGATATGGAAGGACAAGGTAGGCTCTGACTACGCTCATTCAATTGCCACAAATGACCTCGGGCATCTCAAACCCATCCTAACCTGCAATCTCCAGGGTCACGCTGCCCTCTCGACTCAGGTTGCCAATGTGGATCTGACAGTGGTACTGCCCTCGGTCCTCAAGCCGGACCTCGTGGATCTTCAGAATGACACTTCCTTCTCCAGCGTCTGTCACCAGCGCCGTCCTCCCCTTATATTGCGGCATCAGATCATCATCCCAGTCCTTCCCATTCCGGAACACGTGAACAGCTTGAGAGAGCTGGGGGTGTGGGGACCGCAGCCACCTCACCTCGGTGGGCACCGTGACTGGCCAGAGGGAGATAGGGCAGCGCAGCTCGGCTGTGCCCCCTAGCGGGGCAAGGTGGAACTTGCTGGCGTCATCTGTGCAGAATGGACAAAAAAGAGACAAGATCCACCATCTGAGAGGGATGGGACTGAGCTTGGGAGAGGCTGATGAAGGGGGGAACGACAGAGCTCAGGAAGGCCACCAGAAGGACTGAAGGAAGAGCAGAACCCAAGGAGAAATAAAGCTTCAGACCAGATCACCTAATTCTTGTAACCCCATCGTCAGGTGTCTCAGGAAAAGAGGTTCAGAAACTCCCACCTGATCCTTGCGCCAGCAGCTGAAGGAAGACGAGTGTGATGAGGCAGCTAGAGAGCGAGGAACCAGAGGAACTTGCCATTTCCTTTGAAACTTGGAGGACAGATACAGGGAGACATCAGAAGAGGGTCGGTGAGCTTGATGGGAGAGGGGTATACCACGCACTCTAAAATCAAACAAACATGGGTTTGAATCCCAGCTCCGCTTCTTACCTCCCTGTGATTTTGTGGCTTAACTTCTCTGAGACTGTTTCTTCATCTCTAGAATGAGTATAATAAGGGAATGAGGATGATGGTGGAGGTGATATGAGGATCCGAGGGTGAGACAATGATTTAGAAGGCATAAGGAAGAGGCTGAAAGAATAAGAACTTAGAACTTATATCCAGAACTAACCAACTAAACGCTCAAGTATTGTCCTCTTTTTGCGTTTAGAATGCCCAAGGCCACACTTCAGAGGTGCCTGTTTCCAGCCAATCCCGGCCCCTCTATATGTTGTTGTTGTTGTTAGGTGCCCTCCAGTTGGCCCCCACTCACAGCAACCCTATGTACAACAGAAGGAAGATGGGGCACTCTGCTTCCATAAAGATTTACTGCCTTGGAAACCCAATGGGTGTCAGAATCCACTCGATGGCCATGGGCCCACAATATAGCCTGGAGCTTTCTGACTTTTGAGAAATAACGAACTAGGCAAGAGGTCCTGCCATTTCATTTTTTCTCCCCTCCCTTCTCCCTCCTCTCCAGTCTCTGGCAACCACTAATCTACTCTCTGTCTCTATGTATTTGCCTGTTGTGGTCATCTATAAATATGTGGTCTTCTGTGTCTGGCTTTTTTCACTTTGCATAATATTTTCAAGGTTGGTACATGTTGTTGTTGTTGTTGTTATGTGCCGTCGAGTCGCCCCGACTCATAGCGACCCCTCCTTGGGTTTCCGAGGCAGTATCACTACAGAAGTAGGATTGCCCAAGCTTCTTTCCGAGGAGTGGCTGGTGGGTTTGAACCGCCAGCCGTCTGGTTAGCAGGCAAGTGTCTTAGCCACTATGCTACCAGAGCTCCCTGGTACATGTTAGCATGGATCATTCTTCATTCTTTTTCATGGCTGAATAACATTCCATTGTATGGATATAGCACATTTTATCTAACCATTCATCGATTGGTGAACATTTGAATTGCTCTCACTGTTTTGGCTATTATCAATAATATGACTATGAACATTCATGTATGCATATATGTTTTCAATTCTCTGGGGTAAATACCTAAGAATGGGCTTAGTGGGTCATGTGGTAACTTCCTCCATTTTATCTTAAAGGCACTAATCCTATAAACTCAGAGTCTAGAGTTAGAAGGAAGATGCTCTGGTGAAACAACATTTAATTACTCAGCTGCTAACCAAGGGATTGGCAGTTCAAACTCACCTAGCAGCTCTGCTGGAGAAAGACTTGGTGACATGCTCCCATAAGGATTACAGCCTAGAAAATTCTATGAGGCAGTTCCACTCTGTCACATGGAATCACTATGAGTCAAAATTGACTGAGCATCACCTAACAACAAGAGTTAGAAGGACTTAGGTTAATGTCTTAGCTCTACCTACTTACTAACTCTGTGTCTCTGGAAAAATTACATGTCTCTGGGCCTCATGTTCTTAATCTATAAAGGGGAGACTTTCCTTATAGTGTGCTTGTGAGGATTAAAGGAGATAATGCATGTAAAGCACTTGCTACAAAGGCCTGGCACAGCCAAGTGCTCAATAAATTTATTGTTGTTGTTAAACTAAAAGAGGATAGTTGTCTTTCCTCGATATAGGTCCCTGTGTGTATTAACCACAGAAACACCCTAAAAGCCCCCCTACTGTAAAGTTATTTTCACACCTATTTGCTACCGCTGATCATTTCTTTAGCAGTAAATAGAATCTCTTACGCCATACTTTGTTTTTGTTGTTGTTAGGTGCCGTTGAGCCATTTCTGACTCACAGTGACCATGTGTACAGCAGAACGAAACACCGCCCGGTCCTATGCCAGTTCCACAATCCCTGCTATACCTGAGCCCATCCTTGTAGACACTGTGTCAATCCATCTCATTGAGGGCCTTCCCCTCTTTCATTGACCCTTCACCTTACCAAGCATGACATCCTTCTCCAGGGAATGGTCTCTTCTGACAACATGACCAAAGTAGGTGAGACGAGGTCTGGCCATTCTCACTTCCAAGGAGCATTC